GATAGGGAAAACTCTCAACTTCTAGAAAATAGGAACATGCTTAAATTTCAGAAGCTAGTTTCTGTATCAATTCTGTAGATTAATCATTTGTTACAGATGCATGACAAGCAAAGAGTTGGGCAAGCATACAAAACTGACGTAAAATTTCATCCTAAGAATTGTTTTGAATTAAAATTCAAATAGACTTATGCTTTCAGAAAGGAATGCCAAAGATCCATAATTAACATAGCAACTAACCACCATCTATATTCTAAAAGCATTGCTCGAAGCATGTTACTATGATATTATTAACTTCAATAATAATAAAATATGTTGTTTAGGGAATGAATAAGGAACTAATAATTGACCAAGCTATGAACTTGGCTGCATTTTCCACTATCTCCTAAAAAACACATCTAGATACAAGAATGAAGAAGAAATGTTAAAATGCAATAAATAAATGACGAATAAAGCTGAAGCAAGAATAGAACATACAGTGAAATAAATGCTTAGCAAGAGTCTCGTTAGGCATGAACTCCGCCACTAGTAGCCTCTCATCCCCATCACAGCAATACCCTATCAAATTTGCTAGCCTTTTATGCCTCAGTTTCCCCACTTCCTTTGCTTCCTCCTTTCAAATACAAAACATGAATAAATAAAGTCAATCCATTTTCCAAAACTAGAAATCAAAACTTGTATATTTATATGTGTGTGTATAACTGAATCATGTTCGTACAGCGAACTGTTTAGGATCTGGCCAGGCCATTTTGGTGAATTTTTTGACAGCGATCCAGCGGCGGTTCTGCAGGCGGCCTTCATAGACGACATTGGGAGCCTTCTCTCCGCTCTCAGAGACGATTTTATCGGAGCTGAAGTTGTTTGTAGCTGCCTTCAGCTCCGCCAAAGTGAACTCCGCGAAGCCCGACGAGCCCCCTCCGCCGCCCACGGAGGAAGCGCCTTTGGCAGAAGAAGAACGTCGGTGCTGGCTGTGGTGCCAATGATCCTTTTCCAAGCGCGGTTTCCTCGAGAACAACGATTCGCAGCAGCCCATGACTCGGCCGAGTTAACTCAGTTACGACCAATTATATAAAACATTTTTCGTATGTCAGCTGCGTATATACTACAGAGATAATTTGGGTTTTTGGTTTTCTTTTCAGTTCTGCTCTGAATTTTCTATGATTTTCAAATTTTTTTCCTGTGAGAATCTAAAAAGGAGTTCAATTCAGATTTTTCCTTTTCTTCTGTTCAGAATTACGTGACTGGAAAGCATAAAAAAATAATAAATAAATAAAATTAGAAAGAAACTTTATTCTATCGTCTGAGGACTTGTTTAGCTAAAATTATAATTTCACATTAAAGTTAAAATATTAATTTTACATATGTGCTCATTAGATTCGGAGCACAATGATATATCATATAATTCTATTGATGGATAAATTTATAGTGGATCTCGATATTTGAATTCAGAGTGTTTTATATTTACTTTATTTTCCTTCAAAGTTTTTTTTTTTTTTTCCTTCAGTGTTTGATTGACAATTTTTTTTTGAAAAATATTTTTCAACTTTTGATTATGTGATCATATTTTTCTCAAAAATAAGAAAAACAGTTTCTTTAGGGATTGATAATTTTTATTTTTTAGGTCTCACCTGTCATTTTTTTCATTTACCCACCAATAAAAATGGACAAATATAAAATTTTCTACGTTCAAAATTAAATCAATCAAACAAATTTAACTAATAATTTCTATACAAATAAATTTTAGGCAATTGAAGGAATTGTCTAGAATTTATTTATTTTTTATACAAATTTCATGTTTGCAATCAACGCACCCTGAATTTAAAATTCACCAATTGATTCATATGACACGTCATTGATATTTAATATAAAATGAGTATTAATGCTTATTAAATCATTCATGATATAAAATCAATAATTATTAGGATTATACTATTTGAAGAAGCAATGTTCATCTAGCAAAACTCTAATTATTAAGCATCTATTTGAGTTAGATAAAAATTAAATTTCTAATAAATATTGATAAAAGTTAACAAAAATATGTAAAAATTGTGGATTTTATAAAATATACGATAAATTTAATTATTAATTTTTACTTCAATTTTAATTATTATTTTTAATTAAATCTAACCGGGCCTAATTATTTGTTAGTAAAAGTTTAAGCTTAGCCAATTTTGATACACTAGCAAAATTTAGTTGTGCTACATGTACATTATAATTTATAGATTTATTTATCGACAGATGATATAGTGAAATATGATTAATTTAAAATACAACCAGCTACAAAATAAAACTCCTTCACATTTTTATTATTATTATTTTTTTGGCCATCTCATAAATCTATTAAAATAATAATAATAATAATAATAATAATAATAATAATAAAATCTGGTGACGTACGACAAACATTTTCCAACACAATTTCACGTCCAAACAGCAGCTTATATGACTGGGAAAATGGCGCATCTGCGAGAGAGGACAGTCCCACGCGAGCCTCGTCCTCCTATGTGTCTTAGGATCTCCAATTCATGGGATCCGTGCTAAAACTTCATTTTAATTTTCCTTTGCTTTTTTAAAATGTTGTTATGCCCTGTTTGGTAAGATTAAAATTTAATCTAAGTGATGGTCAATAATTAATTTAAACAATATATTTTATGAGATTTACCACTTTTCAATCACAAATTTCATCAAATTGATGAACAAATGATATAAAATTTTGATATTATCTTTACGGCAACTTAGGCATTAATAATTTATATCAAATCATTAATTAGCTTTTAAGATAATCAAGGAGTGTATATAATACTCGAACTTAAAAATAAAGATACTTATGAGTACATAATCTATATTCGTTCTATTTCCTCGAACATAAAATGGGACTCAAGTTTGTGATAGGAATCTTTTTGCCATCTTACTTATAGTGAATTCACTGCATTCAAAACTATAGATCATAAAAATAGATGATTGGGATCGAAGCTTTGATAAAACTTGGAAGCAAAAAATGATATGTTCTAACCTATTTAAAATCTCATAAAGGAAATACCATTGAACGTGGTTGTAAGCCTTTGCCATATCTAACTAAACATTATGTTCCCATCACGACATTTTTTATCCAACGGTGAGACTCATTCTTGAGCTAGTAGAACATTATCGAAATGTTAGGCTCTGCTACAAATCCACTTTGATAGGAGAAAATAATGTTGGCAATATTCGCGTTGATGACTCAGATTTGGGTCCCCCCGAATTCGACTTCATTACAACCACAAATCTCGACCTCGACCTATGACCCCCCGAGTTGATCTTGGCGTATCACGTCGGCATAAAGTCGGGGTTATCATTTAATTCGATCGTTCCCACCTTAAACTTGGCACGTACCCACCGACTTAATCTCGAAAGAGTAGATCCTATCTTAATCTATTCCTTCCTTGATTAGAACTCTAACATAACACTTCTAATTAAACTCCAACACCTAGCCCTAAGGAGAAATGACTCTTTCAGTAATAGAATCCTTCTACAGCTCCCCCACCAACGCCTATAAATACTTGGCCAAGGGTCAACATCAAGGTATGTTTTTCATTATCACTAACTCAATACCTTCTCTCATTAATCTTCCCGTCTGACTTAAGTATCGGAGGGGCGACGAGAACACACCTCGTTACCTTTTGTTTCAGGTATCGGAAGACTGTTCGTGCTCATTTGTGAGATACAAGCTCGAAGTTCAGACCACTAGCTCACGGTTTACCAGGTACATCTTTTTGGTAGCATCATCCGCGAAACCATTTATTTCTTTCCAATGATGGACACCAGAATTCTATTTAATTTTTGTTTTCATAAATTTTTAATATGAATAAGGATATAATTTTCTTTCGAGTACATTTGAAGTTGGGGATTCAAAAGTTCAATTAAGGCTGGAGATGAATTTACCAAAGATCGGGGACCAAATAAGCAATTTTCCCTATAAATTAATGACATTATAATAGATAACAAATACTTTATATATTATCTAGATTAATAGTGCACTTATAATTAACTGACTATTATGTCTTAAATTATGAAGGAATTAATTAGTAATTGCTTAATTATATAATACCCCATTTGCATTATTGTGAATCAAATCATGTGCACTGCCTCTTCTTATTATTCACAGTTCACATGCATGGCCGTTCGGTTTTCATTTCAACACTGGAAAATTGTAACATTAACCCATTAAGATTAAGATTTCAATTTAAGTCAAACTTAACAATTAATTTTAATCAAATTTTTATATAAATTTTCAACTATACATTTTATCAACTTTTTTCACAAACTAAAAAAAAAAAAAAAAAAATCTAATTTTAATTCTCACCAAATAAGGACTTAATTAAACTCATCATAGCTATTTAAAAATAATAAATAAAAAGAATAATTTTAGAAATAAATATAAAAAGAAAAATGAAAGCAAGTAACACAAATGTGTTGTAAATAGCTTTTCTCATATATGTACGTGTTTACATTTTTCACTACTCGAAAACACTATTGAGAACAGAGATAAATTTTTTTTACATCTTTTCAAATTTTCTTTTATTAAGATTCTATTGTGTTAGGAAATTGAGGAGCGAAACCCTAGTGTTGATCAAACTCCTGAATGATCTTTCTCCACAACTTTCAATCTCAACCATACAATCTTCCACTAATTCTTGCATTTTTTTGCACACCATTTTCATTTCTTCATCATCCTTTTTTCTCAATCCCATCAATGTTTCCAAATTAATTTGTTGAAATTCTTGAATCCCTTGTCGAACCTTCACTTTCTTCCAGCTCAGCCCCATTCGAGATGGTTTACGGCTGCCCAATGCCACCGAAAGTCCACCAAAAAGTGAAACTGAAACCGAGACTGTAACCTCTATTACATCTCTGATAATTTCTGCGAATTCAGCATCAAAATTATCAGAAAATAAGTAATTTTTCCCAATGGATTGAACTGAGGATTCGAGTTTGCCAATTTCTTTAGCAATTTTGCTGAGATTCTTTACGTGCATGGCTATTTTGGCCTCATCTTTTCTTTTTACAGCCATCTGCACTGCCAAATACTCCTGTTTCAACGTCAAAAATAACGTTTGGAATATCCCATAAACGTCGACAAATCGAAGAAAATCTTCCAAGAACTTTTCGATCAAATCAGAGTTACAAGAAAGCGATTCCTTTGTTTGAGGCAGCTGGAGGAAATCATCAAGGGATTCATGGACAATTTTGAGCCTTTTCAACCCCTCACAAACAGACACACACGTAGCTTCCGATGAATTCCGAGATTTAAGCTCACTGATTTCATCTTTGAGCTGAGAAATCACAGGGTGTGATGATGATCTACATGGAAGACTAGTTGATCGAACATGAAGTGTTTTTCGTGGTTTATTCGACTGGTTTGGAAAGGACAGAGATCTACGAAAACCAGACACCACCATTGTTGGAGAATGGAGCCCGTTTAATTTTGTTCGTGAATTGTGAGGAGGAAATGAATAATGGGGAGTTTATAAAGGGAGACAACGCGGAAAGGAGAAATAAACACGAGGGGGTTCTGGGGATTGGGGACTGGATCCGCGAATAATTGCAGGCTGTTGGAAGCATTGCACGTGGGCACTGTGCATTGCTCATTGGTTTCCTCTTCTGAGACCACGGGTGCCTCTCATTAAAGCTGTCCCACCTTGCTAAATTTGATTACAGAAATGATATTTGTACAAGTGATGAGATGGTAGAACCTGATCGGCTTTTTTAACCATATTTTTATCCAAAATCCAATAAAATGTTGTCACGTGACATTTTGTAAAAGATTAGTCTAATTGTACACTTTTGGTATACATAATAGATTACATCATTCTTACATGGATTATGTGTACACCTCCCTCCATGTGAGAGAGATGTAAAATTACAACTAAAAGTGTACATGTAGTATCACCCTTTTGTAAATCTGTCTGTGTATTTTCTCGTACATGTAGCCTTGATTTGATAAAAGATGGACTAACCGGTAGAGACCGGAGCCCAGATCCACAGTTTATCAGGCCGCTTCAAACTTGATCTTGACGGTTTAGCTCTTTTGACACCCCTGGCAACCACACGTGCAATAATAGGTTAGTGTCGTAAATTCTGTCTTATTTCATATAAAAAAATATAGAGCTGAAGTGGAAATTTATGACCTTTCACCTTCTCCAATGGGCACGCAATGAGTTGTAAGTAATTGCTATTTGCCATTAAAATATAAAGAATTCATGGAAATCCTGCACGTAATTTGTCATCCTGTTTCTCATAAATCTCACACGGTTAAACATGACAGTTTGGCAATTTGGCTTCATAAAACCTGTCCACACCTAATTCCACGTTACATGTACCTGTCCTTGACTAAATTACATAGTCGATTAATAATTGACGAGTTACATATACGTGTTTCTCAAAGAAACCCGGTTGTCATCCGATCTTTTCCTAATTAATTCATCTAGAACTCCGAACTTCAATTATAATTTTTGTTTCGATGACAAATCAAATACCCTTTAAATTCAATCAAGCGCTAATAAAATTCACCAAAAAGAAAAATATCAATCTAGATTTGATCAACGTATCTTGAAATAGTATTCTTTAATTTGGTTTCAAGAGCTTGAGGACTGCAAATAAAATCTCTGGAGTGACAAATATGAAGGTTCATGCGTCACAGCTAGCAATATTACATCTTCAAAAATTTAGATCTTGAACTTCGAGGATTGAAGATTTTCAAAAGTTAATTATATTAGTTATTTTTTTCTTACAATATCTCACTTTATTTTGATTAATGAGCACCCGAAAACTTTTGATCGTTCTATGTCGTTCAACTTGTCATCAATGCATCATCTCAAGTCGTCAATAGTAATTTCAGACCGGTTTGTTCGGTTTGAAACCCGGCAACACAATTCGGACGCTGAATTAACCATTCAAAGTGAACGGATTGTGCAGCGACTCGGAATGCTCTTGATCAATGAGAGTTGGGTTTGTCGGGACGTAAAATGTTTGGCATGGTCCTAACCTAGAACATCGAGATCAACACATATTGCCTCTTAAGACGGTCCGACCCAAATCAGGATCAAATTTTCGGACAGTCCAAACCATTTTGACACATTTATACACAACCTAGTCAACGTCTTATGTAATATTGTAATGTAACAAACTTCCTGCTGGAAACAGCTGGGACAACTAACATTTGAATTTCATAAATTCTGTCATATTTCAGTAAATAATCTTGAGCTGAAGTGGAAATTTGTTTCGCATAGGCTGACTGATTCGTTTTATTGCTATTTGCAATACAATATACGGAAATTCTGCATGTATACAACATAATTCACTTTTTACGGCGTGCAATGCATGCCGTAAAAAGTGATTTACGGCGTGCGAACGCACGCCATATAAAGTGATGCCATAAAAAATCTTAACTTTTTACGGCGTGCATGGCGCGCAGTTATAGAACACCGTTAAAAGTCCACAACCTTTTACTTGCATGCCGTAAAAGATGTATAAGGTACCTTTTAACGGAGGGCAATTGCACGCCGTTAATAATCCCATTATTTTACGGCGTGCGCTGGCATGCCGTAATTGCGCTCGTTTTACCTTTAATAGCGTACCATCGCATGCCTTAGAAAATGACTCGGTTAGCTTTTACGGCGTGCCGTTTTTAAAAATCCTTTTGTTTATTTGATTACTAGCACCTACAATAATTACACAAATCCAATTCCAACTCTTTGAGTACAAGCTAGCATGATAAACTACATTAAACTAATTAGTTATTCTAGGCTCAAGGATGAAAAAATTAACACTAACATTTATCATATATAAATAAAATGTAACAACTACTTTTCATTTTCTCAACCAATAGACATAAGTTCAACAAATGACAAGCCTGATTCATAACTAATTGCTTCTCAACCAACAGACATAAGTTCAACCAACACTAATAAGTTATTTTACAAATAAAAGAATGCTTTCCAATCACATGAGTGCGGAGCTCGATCTGGGTGAGACTTCAGCAATGCTCATTTGTAATCTGCCTGTACCTGAAATTTCATCAAATGTTAGCGATCAAGTTCCACTCAATGGTCATCAATGGCCAATTAAAAGTGTTAGACCCACAGAAGCAAGAATGCTAGGAGGACTTGAATTGTAATATATTTGTCTAATGAGTTGTGAAATTAAAATAGAAAAGAAGTTAAGCATACCTTCATTGTGATTATAGCGAATCCACTTCAATGTACCTAATTGGCCATTCTATTGTACTTCCTAATGCATCCTCAAGAAGAAAAAGCTCACGTGTAGGACGATATAAGCTGACATTATCAATCACTTCATTAACCCAAACTCTCCAACATTCATTACCAAGTGGTACATGATGCACCAAATCACTTAGATTTGTTGATGCGATTTCACCTTTTGCAACAACATCAGCTTTCTCAAACCAAGATAACAATTTGCATTTCCTATTTTGAAGGTTATTTGACCCATTCAAGCTTCCGTCTCTAGGCTGTAAAATTCATATCCAATTGTACAATTTATTATTTTGTATATAGAAATCATATGTAATTTAGAATAACGTTCAATATTTTTATTTTCACTTACATTATCTTCTTGTTCAAAACTCTTACTCTTCATTTGAAACAAAGCTTTTAATTCTTTAATTTCATCTCTCAACTCTTGCATTTGAGTTTGCAAGTTATGATTGTGCATCAAAGCACTCAACTTTAAAGGAGTCGCACCAAAACCAAGACCTCTTACCCGTCCTTGAAGTTCAGGACCAAGTACTCTAGCAACACCATCATCTTTAAGGGAGTGTTGGCTAGGAGAAGTAACCGTCTGTGAACATGCTTTTATTTTGTTCTGAGATGAGGAAATAAATTAATGGGCTAAAATTATAAATATAAGCTTTGAATGACCAAAAATCACGAAAAGCAATATTGTTACCATTGTTTCCCCAACTGATTCATTAGTAGATTCACCATTTTTTCACGTATGCCCTCGAATATAAACATCATCTCTCATTATGGAATCTGGGTCTTCACTTTCGGCATGCTACATTTCACTTATTTCATATATGTAATAACGTAAACGTTTATAATTTGTTAAGCAAATTTAACTTTAAATTTAACAAATTTTTACCATTTCAGCTTCTAAACGAGCAAAGCCCTTTCTACTTGTTGTATGCATTAAAGTTTGACCTGCTCTCATCTTTCTGAATCTTTCTCTTTTTTCCTACAACATCAATTAGTACCGTGTAAGCAAAACTTTTATTAGGAATATAGAGCAGATGCAGTAAGCAATTTAGGAAAAAGTAATAACAGCTTGCCTTATACGGTTGAGAATTGTGTTCTTTGACAAATGCTTGCCATTCTTCCATTGATTCAACATTATCGAGCTTGAGGAGAGCAGCAGCTCGTGTTATGCCAATTGTTTTTCCTCTTTCATTGATTACTTTAAGCACATTAGATCGATGATCTTGCCAAATCTTTCCCATTTTTTGTTCCTCTTTCATTGATTACTTTAAGCACATTAGATCGATGATCTTGCCAAATCTTTCCCATTTTTTGCATGATATATTTTCTATGACAAATATAAACATCAAACTTTTGCTGCAACAAAGCACACAATATTAATAGTAATTTAATTTAAATTATAAAAGAGACGCAAAATTTATATTACCTGCACTAACATGTGTCATCAAGAAAATTTTTGCTGATATCTTTCCAATTTTTCCATGTAATTGGTATAAGTTCTCTAGTTGTAGTCCCAATAAATGATGATAACTTAGTTGAACCTTTACAAATTGGCTGCCCTCTTTCATTAAACTCTCTGGTAATTTCGCGCCCTTTCCCTTGTTGAGATAATTCAATTTTGCTCGACCCCTTCTCTTCTTTCCTTTCTCAGTAGTACTAGCACTATTAGGCAGCACTTCTACATCATGTTGCACATCATTAACTTGTATGTTTTGAACAGAATTAGAACCTCCTTCTGATATTCTTATCCTTTCATTCTCTTCTCTTGTGGCAACAACATTTAAAGCTTTTTTAGCTCGTTTTGACTTCTTGTAGCCTTGATTAGAGGACTGTATTAAACAAATAAGAAAAACAAGAAATATTTTACTTGATTTTACTAATGAAAATTATTATATTTACAATCTGGGAACTTACTTCACCATGATATGTCATCTTATTTCACTCGTGTGGACAAAAGCATCAACAAAACTCAGCTTTCATCGTTTGCATCTACAAAAATAAAGCAATAAATAATGGAATTAGAGACAATAAAGACATTAACATCAATATAATATCACATAACTTTTATATTAAAATAGAGCAAGAAAGAATCTTAAAGATATACAATTACCATGTTCAATATCAATGCCATCACAATCATATTTTACATAACCTTCATCTTCAACAGTTATATCAAGTCTTAATGCATTTGCATCTAAAGTGGATGGAGTATAAGCCTCCTCATCAAAATTTTCTAACTCATGAAATCCTCTGGGAGGTGCCTTTAATACAATATACCAATTAGATGTATCGCTCTCTTTAGAATAAAAAACTTGTTTTGCTTGTGAAGTTAAAATAAATGGATCTCTTTCAAATTGATGTTGTCCTTTATGAAGATTTATCAAGGTAAATCCTTCTTCACTTTTGACTCCACTATCTATATTTGCCCAATCACAATGTAACATAGGAATTTTAAAACTATGATAATCTAGTAAAATAATGTCTCTGATAACCCCGTAATAAGATATTTTACCAACTACATGGCTTATATCCTTCACACTTGATCGACAAATAGTTTGTGCTTCAATAGAAACACCACTATTTTGATCCTAAACGAAAATAAATAAATAAAAATAAGAGAAGTTTGAGAGAATATTAATCAATGTTAAACTAATAAATTAACTAGTTTCATTACATTATGCATGGCTCAACTACAACGCTATTAAATAGTACATAACGATGAGCGACAACATTTTTGGACTCAAAGTCTTTGACTTTCCTTCAGAAATTGGACGTCCCTCAATAATTGTTTCATTCTCAAAATCTTCATTTCGAGTATGTCGAACACCTACTTCAGCAGCTTGTTTCATGTAACCACTACAAAAATGCATACATTCATCGGCTAAATAACGCTTTGCTATACAGCCCTCAGGTCTTGAATGATTTCTAACATATCCTTTAAGTGTTTTCATAAACCTAATGAATCATATAATAGGCATTAGATATATAAGTAATTAGAAGAAGAAAGTTTGAATACTTACAAAAGTATAATAGTAATTTACCTCTCAAATGAATACATCCAACGATATTGTACATGTCTACCAATACGAACCTCACGCTCAAGGTGGATGGTTAAATGAATCATTATGTCAAAAAAAGATGGTGGAAAATACAATTCTAGCATACAAAAAGTCACAGCAACATCCTCCTCAAGTTTTTCTAATTTATTTTTATCGACGACTCTTTGACATATTTCGTTGAAAAATGCACATAGTCGAAAGATTGCATTTCTTGGTCCTTTAGGTAAAAGTCCTCTTAATGCAACTAATAACAATTGTTGTATGAGTACATGACAATCATGAGACTTTATATTTAAAATCCTATTATCTGTTAATGATACACACTTTGAAATGTTAGAACTATAACCATCAAGTAATCTTAAATCAAATAGCCTCTTACAAAATAACTCTTTCTCTTTTTTGGATAGCATATATGATGCTGTGGGGAGATAATATATATTTCCTTTCAATTCTAGATGAAGCTCCTTTCTAATACCCATATTGAGTAAATCCTTACGGGAATTTAACCCATCTTTTGATTTTTCCTTCACATGCAAAATAGTGCCAAGAATGCTTTCGCAAACATTCTTCTCAATGTGAATTACATCCAAATTATGGCGCAAAAGTAGTGTTTGAAAAATAACAATATAAATTTAAAAAAAGTTTAAGCAAAGAAATAACTAATTCAAGATAGTTTAAATTGACTAACCTCCCAATATGGCAGCTCAAAGAATATTGACTTTTTTTCCATGGCCAATTAGAATATGATTTTTTCATCCTTCTTTTTTTTCCTATTTTTCCCCAATTATTGCTAACAATCTTGATTGAACACATCACTTCTTGACCGGTTAATATTTTAGGACTAGGCCTATGCTCCTTGTTTCCATCAAACCAAGCTTCTTTTAACTGATAAGGCTGATTATATGCAAGAAATCTTCTATGACCCATGTATGAAAACTTTCGACTATAAGTTAACCATTTTGCACATGTGGATAAACCAGATACTGGACATGCTACTTCGCCTTTCGTAGGATATCCTGATAAGTTCCCATAAGCCGGAAGATCATTAATTGTCCACATCAATACAGCTTTCAAATTGAAGGTGGACTTGGTAAATCGATCATATACTTCAACACCAATATTCCACAACTTCTTTAAGTCTTCTATTAGTGGTTTTAGATACACATCTATATCATTTCCAGGTTGCTTGGGACCTGGGATTAATAAAGCCAACAACAAATTTTCCTTAGACATGCATATCCAATGAGAGAGATTATATATAACTAGTATCACTGGCCAACAACTATACCTAGAACTTAGGTCACCAAAGGGATTAAATCCATTAGAAGAAAGGCCAAGTCTAAGATTTCGTGGTTCTGATGCAAAACAAGGCCATTATTTTTTATCAATTCTCTCCCAAGCTAATGAATCAACTGGATGATGCATTTTTCCATCTAGACTTTTGTGATTTGAGTGTCATATTAACTGTTCTGCCTTATCAAGTGCCCTAAACATTCTTCTAAATCGCGGTATAATCGAAAAATATTGCAGAACCTTTGCAGGTATCCCTTTTTTAATCTTCTTAGTCTGTTCATGAACTTTCCATCACAAAGATGCACATTTCGGACATGTATCCAAATTCTCTAGATCATTTCTAAACGAACAACAATCATTTACGCATACATGTATCTTCTGATACCCCAAATCAAAGGTTTTCAATAACCTTTTTATTGCATTGCAAGAATTAGGAAGGGTGTTCCCATGTGCTAGCATATCTTGAATAATATCAAGAAGTTCATTGAAACCATTGTCGAATATACCATATGTAGCTTTAAGCTTGTATAAGACAACAGTTGTAGATATCCTTGTATACTTTGTGCAACCAAAATATAAAGGAATTTCTACGCCTTCATATAGATTTGAAAAATCTTTCTCTCTATCTTCCTTCTCGGGTTCTACACTATTATGATCCTGAAAAAACGCATCTCTATACATCCTATACGTCTCTAAATTTTCTACATCTTGAGGAGGCAATGATGCTGTATTCGATTTTTTCCCATGAAACACCCAGGTAGTATACGTAGGATCCATACCATTAATGATCAAATGCCCATACATTACATCAAAATGTTGGTGGAATAGGGTTTTGCAACATTTGAAAGGGCATATGACATTTTCTGGATTCCCCGCATTGGCTTGCACCATATTTGCAAATTTTCTTGCACCACGTTGATACACCTTTGAAACTCTATGAAGAAATGCTAAATAAATCATTTAAAAAGCATTTGAAGACATATTTTAAAATATTCTGAATTTAAAAGGACGAGATAACCTTGATAAGTGTACCCAATCTTTATCCATGATAATACACCAACACTATTAAATTATAATCTGTTATAACACAATAAAAACAATTATATTAGGGCATCTTAGAAATCAAGTTCCAATTAGGTAAGTCATTTTGCAAATAAAGTTTCATTAGGGCAAGGTGGAAGACAAAGCAATTGGAGAAAGATTATGAAGTTCTTAAGAGATAGTTTGAAGATGTTAAAGCAGATAATGTATACTTGGTGCTCCCCAAGGATAGAGATTCAAAGAAATTGCAATTGAGTTTAAGCCTTGAGTTTGAGCCATCATGTACAGATAACTTGAAATTCTTTTAGAAACTGAATATAAGGGCACCTTTTCTTGTTTGTTTGGCTAAACTTGATGTCGTATCATCCTATGTAATTACTTGTGCTAAACTGACTTTCATGATGGCATAACAATTGAAGTCACCATGAAAAATTACATATGTGGTAACGAAAATTAACACACTATGTCATGGCCACTGGATTGACAAGACATACTTACATGAGTTGGTATTAAGTTCTATCATCAATCTCTTTTGATTTATATTACAATATAATGTTGATTTATAACATGATTGGATTTTATATGACAATAGAGTGGTTGATTTGTAGAGACAGACGAAGTCTTTATTGGCTATTCCTCTTATATCCTAAAATGATTATTTGTACAAATATTGTATTTCATTGTATCATTTTGTCGTTGCGGAGTCCTGAACTTTAAGAAAATAAACATAATCTATTAATTAAATTACCAGCAAATTAGAAAAGAATAATATATTATTACACAATTTGGTAATTTGAATTATTCATACAAAATATATGGATTTAATCACATTATTACAGAGGTAGTAAGTTACAATTTTAAAAATTATAAACTATGTAACAAAATAAATAAAAATGTAAGCTACATTTATTATAAAGAAAATTATATAAAGTGTAATTTGCCAAAAAAAAATATTACACATAATTGCCAGATTTTTCTTTAAGCGCTAATTTATGTTGTATTTTTTACGTATTTAACAAAAACCAAAATTTTTCAAATCAATTCCCTATTTTATCCCTATTTGTGTAATTTGGACAAATAGAAAGCTTTTGTTTTAGGCCCAACACTGCAGGCACAACAAAAGATTTCAACCTTTGATTTTGGCTATGATGTACTATTTGGTAATGAGGATATTTCTACTAGTTCTGATATTAATCCAAATGTACTATTTAAAAACAAGGACATTTGGATTCTTGCTTCTTTTCATCTTCCAAATTCGAAAATTTTCCATTCTGGTCTTTTCTATCTTCAAAAAGCTTCTCTTTAGTAGCCCACTACTAGAGGATTTAAAATTTAAAGGGAACTGTAACAAGTGATTTTATATTCAATCTTTCATGTCCGCTTTTGAAAAGATTGAAGATAGTGTTATGGCCATTGGATTGACACATCAAGAAATGGAAGGTTCTTGCAGTAACAGAAGTGAAAACAGTTGTGATATTAAGCTAGACATATTAAGAACACTAGCAAATGATAGCCCTTTATCTACACACCACTCAACCAGACCCATCTTTGCACCTTCCATGAGGCCTAATGGCGCGGCACAACTTTTCCAGACCACGTGTAGACCTGATATTCAGTACCAGAAATCGGAACAATCTGTGAAAGACGAAAGCTTCTGTAGTATGTTATGTGGCATGGACGATCAAATCGGATTCTGGCCATGACTAGAACAACAGCTTTCTCATTCCATGGACATAATTCCAGGATACATTATCACATTCTAATATCTTGAGGGAGAATGAGGAGTCTAATAGGCATATATTATATTATCATTAGAGGAAAGCAGACCCTAGTATCAAAATTCATCCCTAGGGAACCAACTTGGAGTCATGCCTTGGCCATTTATTCACAGTGCCAGTTGAAGGGTACCAATACTCGCGTGTGTTTCTTTCTTCCTAGTTGGAATTACTCTGAATTGAAAACACATCAATACAATGCCAAACAACAATGAGATATAACTGAAAACACCTAAATTTAATTCATTCAAAAATCAAACAGCACATCCAATACGAAAATTAATTTCATTATCAAGTCGAATGACATAACGAATCAAGAAATAGCCAAACAATAATCTGATTTTAGGTATTAATCCGATTCATGCTAACTCATTCAGTAGCTTAAATCATACAATTCTTTCAAGAAACTAGACCGTTATAAAGACAGGGACAGGTATTAATTTGAAGAATCCTTACCTTACAGAAATATTCGATTTGGGTCTTGGGAGGCAACGACAAGAGTGAGAGCTAGCGCTCGGGGTCGACGGGTGGAAGGCGGAGAGTTAGAGCTGAGGAGCTGGGCGAAGGCGAGGATGGTGGCTGTGGTGGACTGGTGGCAGCACAGGAAGAAGAGGTTGCTGAGGAAAATGAACCGTAGGAGGCGCAGTGATTTTTGAGAAGGGATGAGAATCTTACGAATGGGAGAAAAATGCCGTGTTTTAATTGAGTTTTTGAAGATATACTACGGCGTGCAAATGCAAGCCGTAAATATGTTTAATTTTTGTCAAACACGATGTGCATCTGTTGCACGCCGTAAATGGCTTAATACGGCGTGCACCATTTGCACGCCGTAAATAATTTTACCGAATGATTTTTTACTGTTTACTTTTTGTGCACGCTGTAATTAATCTATTTTTATGGCATGTCATAAATGCACGCCGTAAATAAATGCTGTAAAAATTGAATTTTGTTGTAGTAATTTCTCATAATACTGTTTTTCTTTTCTAATAAACTTGACACGATTAAATACGATCAAATAAGACATGAACATGAAATATTTATTTGCTAATTGAGCGTATCAAATGTTGAATTTAACAATAATCATGTTAAGAAACAAGAATCATAATTGTAAATTGATAGTTTAGGATTCATACATGCAGAAGATATTGGGGATATGAATATTAGCAACTAAATATTCATCTCCTTACTCATCACAAAATATTAGTCGTCAATGGGGTAAGCTAATAAACAATTATATAGAAATTTGCCGAGCCATCCCATTAACGACTCCAACCCTGATTAGAGTTTACATATATTTTCGGCCCACATACTTAAATTGCCACATTATATTACCCCGTAAGGTGTGAAACGGTCTAATTGATCACTTAACAAATTTGACTTAATCATAGTATCATTATGAGTCATACATCTAATCCGTAAAATTTGCAATCAAATAGAAAACTCATATTTTAGAATTATTCTAACATATCAAATATCATTGGATTTGAAAAACTTGTAGTTTTGATTCAAAATTATGGTTTATGTTAGTCATGAATATTGAAATAGAGACAGTGCGACCTTCAATTTTTCGTTGTTGTTGCACAATTCGTCTCACAGATAATAAAGACATAGTTGAGAAGCTAAGCTTTTATATTTTTTTGTGTTCATTTTTATTTGATGTGGGATATTACCTTTAGACTTTAAAATGTTTGTACAAGATGATGGCTTTCATTTGAGCTTTGATAGACCAAATTGTTCATTTGAGCACAATGAAATCTTATATAATATGAAGCTAAAAATTCGATGTTGTTAAGAAGGGTAGCAGCACATGTCTTTATTTATATATAAAAAAAAAAATTTATATTGATCTTTAATTGGTGTGGAATTTACTTTTAATAGAAAATAAATTTGTGCCTAAATTTTAAAATTAAGACAAAAACTAACTCAAAAGGATAACTAGAGGAAACAAGCAAGGGGGGCCAGTGAGGGATACCTAAATTTTTTCTTTATCATTTTTTATTTTCCTTCTATTTTCTTTGATTTGTATATATCATGAACGTGGCATTTTAACAAAAATTTAAAGGGTTGTTATCGTCTTCATTAACTTTTAGAACAATAAAAGATTGAAAATCAAAATATTCCAATTTAAAAGTTGAACCAAAAAAAAAAAAAAAATCATATATTTTTCCATTTAAATTTTACACTTGGATTGAGTTTGAGTCCAAGTCGTTGAATGAATTGAATCTGCAATTTTTCATTTTTTTTTCTCATTCCATAATTTGTTGCCTGCTAGATGCAAAACATGACAGATTGGCTCCATTGATCTTGTCCAACCACACATTTTAGACTTAATTCCATACCCATAACATATTGCTTCCAATTAGTATTGAAACAGAGAGAATTGACCCTTTGACAAATTAAAGCGATTGAAAGTTTTGATATTAGACCCAAGAGAGGTAAGAATTTGGCCCTTCAGATAATTGTGATCCACGTTAGTCATGAAATCATAAGAGCCTAGTGAATCTGTACTAAGCAGAGAGTTTGATTCCTCGATAATTTTTTCATTTTGCTAATTTTCACTATATTTTCCTTGTCATATGTATTGACTTTGCTCTTTACTTTTCATTTCAATTTTTTGATGTTTTAAGAATTTGTTATAGGAAATTTTGGTTACTTTTGGATTTTATTTTATTTTTAATTAACTTTTATGACAATTGGGATGTCTGCATTTCTAGATCAATTGTAATACATTAAGTTATATGCCTAACAAATTTCTAGGACTTTAGTTTTTATCCTCCAACCTATTTCCTCTTGTTCGATTAACTAGTGTTATTCTTAGATCTTTTTAGTGAGATTGAGAAAAATAAGTAATTATATTTTCTTTTTCCTTCATTTAGGTTTGTCCCATTAAGTTTTCGTGATTAGGTTATAATAATGAAACATTTTTTACTTAAATTTTAAATTTTTTTGTAATTAAATATAATCTTTTTCTCTTTGTTATAACAATGTAATATTTTTTGTTTGGATTTTTCAAAAACAAGACAAATATTGCGTAAATAGTAATTCAAGGTGAAATGTTGTAAAAAATGATTAGATTATGATGAATGACTAGTCATATTAGAATATATAGACAATAATTTAACATACTCTAAATGTTTATATCTT